GTTGGATTTTGCTTTTAGCAGAAATTTCTTTTGATTATGGAAAGGGTTTTGTCGCTTAAATTTGGTACACTGTAACTTTTGCTTCTTCACCGTATCTAAATGAGGTATGAATTGGGTGGATGTTCATTATAAGATCTGAGTACATAATTTGTGTTTTTTTATAATGCAATATTCGCTTGGTGTGCAATTTTGACCTTTCTAAATCACAATGTATGTAGTTTGATAAAATAAACGAATGACAAAATTGATTTGGTTGAATGAATACAAGGAATTTGTGATTTATTCATATTTGTACAAAATCACAACCCTTGACAGTGAAGCAGAGCGGGCCTAGTGCATGGTGGGTCATCCAAAGAAAGTGGAGGGTTGAATGGACAAGAGCATGAATGGAAGATGTTTGGGCTTTATAAAGAGTCAGGGGGGTTCATTAACTGACATTGAAGAGTTCTGGCCTTGAGTACCTGACATGGCCAATGAGGGCATGCCATGGTTGAAGTAACACATAATGAAATGTAACTATTTTTGTGAATATAGTCTTCTTATGATTTTGCCATCTAGTTATTAGAAATCTTGTTGACATGGTTGTATGATAAGTGTATTATGGGGACATCAGCAAGAAAAACATAATGGGGACATCAAGTGGGTACTATGGAGTCTGTACATGCCAACCTTAAATCAGGGTTTTGATTTTCCAAACAATTCCCTTAGAATTTCTTTTGCTGAGTGCTGATCTAGTGGGGTTTTGGGTCCTGTTGATATATATGTCAAGGGCGGATCCAGCATTTTGAAAAGGGAGGGGTCCAAAATATCCAGACCGCCTGGACCTCACTCTGGATCGGCGTATGTATGTCCCTCCATGATATGCTTACTCCGTAACAGTGACAAAACAATTTCCATAATTATAAGAAATCTCAAATCTAAGAAAAGTGGAGTCTATTGTACAATTCTGACTATTTACTGAGAATGTGCTTTGAATCACAGTCAAACAGTGATGATACCAGTTGTTTGCAAAAAGGTTAGCATATCCAGCCCCACTAATTTGCACTCATCACCAACACATGCAAGGGCAAGTCAATTGTAAGAGATGGTTCATGTTGAACCTTAATGGCTGTGCTGGGTTTCAGATATTACAAAGAAAATATTTAACTTTACAAACTTATTCAACATTACCATAAGACTCCTGATAATTTACCTGACTAACCTGAAAATAATGAGATTACATAATGAAGTTATATCGGACATTGTTTCAGACATTTATGTGCATCACCTGTATTTGAGTCTTGTAATGAGGTAAAATCCAAGGTTTTTTTTGTTTTCTGTTTTTGTTGTTTAACGCCGCACTCAGCAATATTCCAGCTATCTGACGGCAGTCTGTAAATAATCGAGTCTGAAACAGACAATCCAGTGATTGACAACATGAGCATCGATCCACACAATTGGGACTGATGACATGCATCAACCAACTCAGCGAGCCTGACCCCCCGATCCCATTAGTGGCCTCTTACGACAAGCATAGTCACCTTTAGGTAATCGGGTCTGAATCTGTGTTTGTAAATAAACGGCAAGCATGAGTTGCTAAAGACCAATTCTACCCAGGATCTTCAAGGGCCAAAATCAAAGTACTATACAGTATTATACAGGTGATTTAGCATGGTGACACTGATTCGTATGCACCCACAATTCCTAAATCTATCTTGTCAATACACAGGCTGAATAATGTTTACCGAGCTGCACAAAGTAGGAATGTGCGTGGAGTAGGCAGGCATTCAGCCGAGTTTAAATCGGTAAAATTGTTCAAGATGTAATTTTAGTACGATTTTCCGGATTATTGCTCTGTGAACATAGTATTCAAACGAGAGCAGCGATTGTTAGTCATACAAAGTCACACATTGTCAGATCAAGTCACTAAGTACATGTAGCACACAACCAAGGCAATCAAACTACATTTAAGGGTGCAGTTTGAATTTGTCCTATTGACGAAACATTCCATTTAGAGTCAGTTTGTACTGGAATTATCCTTTTCGTCAAAAGCTTTCCATTTAAAAGATCACTTTATTTGAGTTATCTAATAGTAGTTAATGCACTGTGCTGCTGAATTGCTGTAGAGTGAAAACATCACACCTTCAGGGGATGGAGAGTTTGTTCAGCTTCTTGAAAGAACTTATACTTGATCAATATATATGCCTTTGTTACGTGGTTTTAAATCTCATATGCAGACCCATCCTCTTTCATCCAGGGTATTATATCTCTATTTGATATATAAACGATGAGTGGGAGTTGTTTATCCTACAAGAAAACACTTCAGGGAGAATATACCATGAGTGACACAGCTCATGAGCTTAATATCAGCAACCAATCAAAATAAAGAGTTCAGCTTAGATCTACATTCAGAACTGTAACTTTCTGTGTGCCTTTTGGTGTATACTACTCAAAAAAAGTTAAAGAACACCTGATTCTCTGGCAACTATAGTATTATGAAAGAATGAGGTGTTGTTTAACTTTATTTGAGTAGTATATTTGATCAAATCAGAATCTTTAGGTAGAAAAGTTGTTTTGCTGAGTATTACATTTGGGGAGGGATGTCCTTATGATATCGTGACCTCCAACCAATTCTTTCATATTGCTATTGTTAATCTGTCATGGCATAGATATAATTTGTCATTGTATGACAGATGAACTATAGTAATATGAAAGAATCAGGTGTTCCTTTACATCTTTTGAGTAGTATATTTGAGGTGGTACGGAAAAAGGCCAGTGAAGCATTGGTGGTAACGCCAAAAACACTTGCTTAATGACATAGTCTTTCCTCTGACACATTTAATTTGCATTTGAAGGCATTTGTTTATAGTTATCAATTTCAATTTCTTAGAATCTGTCCCTAATCTGAGATTGTAACCTGTACATTACATAGCATTTGCAGTTTTTATAAAATTATACATATTTAATAGTGTGTTAATTCCTATTGTATTGTTTATGGAGATATTATAAAGCAGTGCAAACATCTGGAAGCTGCTGTTTAGGTTTTTAAAAAAGCTGTTAATAACATGTTTAGAATTGTACACGTAAAGAATAAACTCCCTGCGTAGACAAGGGTAGGGTGAGGATTTTATGGCAACTTGGGTTGTCACTTTTAACCCAGGAATTTTTCTTTGCCAAGTTATTTGGAGGCTAATATAATATGGAGTGGTTTATTTTAATGGCATTCAAAACATTCCGAGACTTACAGTTCAGTTGAATGCAGATGTGCTGCGTTTTATTGCCTCTCTTTCACATCGGAGAGTGATTACAGTAATAACTTTCATGTTCAAAAGTCAAGCTTTTTACTTACAAACAGCGACAAGTCATGGCCTTGGTTTCAAAACAGTATGTAGACTGGTTGGCTAAACTACTTCTCCAAACAAAAGACACAAACAAAAAAGAATTAAGGGCGTGGATACAATTTAAAGTGGAATTTCATAAAATGTTGACAGAGGTCATTGTGTTAGTGTCAGATAAGATAGAATAGTGGGGAACATCATGTGTGAACGCCTGGATGGAAAAGAACAGTAGTGAGTGTTGAAGACTGGTTTGGTGAACACATTGTAACGAAGCATCTCGGCCTCGTCTCTCTTGGGGACCCTGCTGTGCTCCAGTTGCCACGGATTGTTGAGCTCAAAACTTGTCAGTCATAACAGATATCATATCAGAATGAAATATGAAAGCATTCTGTTTGTAAATATTTTAAAGAGCTTTGAGATTCAATCAAGCTGTTCTGAATCTGATGACATTAATTAAATATATCAGTCAAATGGAAATTTAGGCAGCCTAGATTAATGTTCCCTGCGACTGAATTTATTCACGATTCATTCTTTCGCTGGGCTGCGTGAAATTGTGTTTGTCGGCTTATAATAAGGCATTTGTGCTTTCAAGGCAACTCGGGATGGGGTAGCCTTCATAGAAGAGATGAGACGCTATTGTCCGCGCTTAGTGACTTTTGATTGAGAATAATGTCATGCATGGCCAGTCATGTATCTGGCAGTTGCATGACTGGTTTGACTTAGGTTAGCCTTCATAGTAATAGGACCATGTCGTACCCAAGATTTCATAAATGATATTAGTAACAAGTTTGTAAAAACTATCTGACAAACATGTTTCAAAGGAGAGATAGTGAGTTCCCAGTAATGTAGAAAGTATGGGAGAGAGGTTCAAAGAATTGTGGGATTGTTTGGATTTATTTTAAGCAGTTTGATCAGATATTCATTAACTCAAAGCCATCTTGTAAATTTTTTTATTCATCTGCAGTAAGGCCACATTGTTCAGTAAAGCACTTCATACCCTGAAATGATACTTGAAGAAGAACTCTTCTGGGCCCACTTGCACAAAGCAATCTTAGCATTAAGATGATCGTAGCTCCCATACTTTAACATAGGCTTACAATAGTTTGTAGCACTAAGATTGCTTTGTGCAAGTGGGCCTTGGTGTTAGGTGTTGTAGTTCTTGAGTCACTGGACTGAGTGATTTGCCTTAATGTTATGTCTATGTGTGAGTGAGTGAGTGAGTGAGTGAGTGAGTTGGGTCCACTTTGGACAGTATTGCAGATATATCCCCGTGTGTCAGCTTAATGTTGGAGGAAAGTCTATGGAATGAGATAAATTTGTGGAAAGAGGCCCTGGTCATGTGATTTCATAACATAAACATCAAGCAAGTTTTCAGATACTATTGGTTGTGTCACTTCAAGCAAGTTTTCTTATTAATTATCTTGTTTGTAATGATGACGTCAGTGACGAAGATGATGACGATGATGTGAAGACAAATTTACTGTTTTGTTGTCTTGAAACTATTTGTTGTAATAATTAGTTGTCATGCTAGCTCAGTCTCGTGGTAAGTCTTGAGGTTGTATGGGGGTGGGGCGTCTCAGTGTTTGCTATTTCACGAGGTTGTATGGGGGTGGGGATCTTTATCCATACATGTACACATTTGATTGTTGCTTTTTCTCTAACTCATTGTTTTCTTTCTTGCAGGTTTGGAAAAATTACATCAACAAAAGCAATAATCGATCAGAACACAAATAAATGCAAAGGTAAGAGCCCTGTTCAATAACATTTTAATCACAAATCTATCTGTCATATATTTCTCCCAGTGGTAGCAATAAGAATGTATGGAAAGACATTTAAATTGATATCTAGGCCTTTAAGACTTAAGGACATAGCAAGGTGAAATGTAGCCTTGCTTCAAGGCTGTACTGGCCCATTTCTGGTGTCCCTCGCTGTGATATTGCTGGAATATTGCTAAAAGCGGCGTAAAACCAAACTCACTCAAGGCTGTACTGAATGAAAAGTCCATGGTACTTATATCCGTATAATAGGCAAATCCCAGTATTTTTAGGAACAATGTCTTCTTATTATTTATATTATCTGGAAATTATGATTTAAACTAATAATTTTTGCCTAAAAGACTTGTGCAAGTCTAGGCGAAATGAGGCTCAGTGTATTCCTGGTGCAGCAGTAAGTCTTAGAGCATGATGATCATAATGGCCGACATCCAAATTGTGTTGCAGTTCTGCGGCAAGTGATTTGATTACCCATGATGCCTCTGTGACATTGATTTAGCCCCCGGTCTTAATGTGGAAATACTGACAAGGGTTACAAGAGAAGAATTTTGTTCTAGAAACTGAGCATGGCTGCTTGATAAGTCTTGTCTCTTGTTGTCTTGGAAAGTCTAAATCTCGGAAATTCATCAACATTCCTGACTTGAAAACATGGCGTAAAATGTTGTTTATCTTTTCTTTATGGACGTATCAACAACAGAGGTTTGTGCAAAGTCACTGATGTCAAAACAGGTGGAAACTATGTTTTTGGAGACGTTTATTAAAAAAATAAAATCCAAACATGTTCCTCATGGCTCTAGGTGGCTCTGAAAAACCAGAGACGTTTGTGGAAGTTTTTGTAGACACAGAAATAGTCAGGAAATATTGAAAAAAACTTAACATCCACTAATCCAAGGAGTTAGTTTTATGGAAAAAACGTGAAATATACTGACGATAAATATCAGCTCATTGTTTCTTTAAACAGGAAAAGCATGAATACATGACACTCTTTTTATGGATAGCAACTTCTTTTATTCTTTGAACAATGTTTCAGAGCTACATCTTTCTCCTTCATCAGGTAATGCCTAGTAAGTGCATAGAGTACTATATATACATTATGATGTTTACACAACACAAAGTGGGATGAATGTACATAGATAACAACATAATAACAAAGCCAACAACAAGAAAAGCAGATAAGATGAAATATTTACCAATTTAATTTCAATGCTTCTAAGTAAGAAATGTAATATTGTTCACAGTTACAAGTTTAGTTTCATAATTCGTTTATCATTCCAGCTAAAACTTGTTATTATATCTGCCCATGCTAAACAACTGTTTCCCCAGTGAGTAAGCTTGCAGTGTTAACAGTCCGTCTCTTGTTGGCCATATGTGTATCACTTACGGCATGGGTTAGCCCTTGACAGACCTGGTTTCAACCACATCAGCTCAAAAGCAAATTAATAAGTAACCCTTGAGTAGAGATTGTAAATCTTTCTCGAGTAACACACTTTTGTGTGTGTAAGAAAATAATGTGTGTCACTTTATTTCTACACTGTTGAATTAACTAAATAATGATCTGTTGTGAAAAGGTAGAAATTCTAATTTGAGCAACGGCTTGAAAAAATAATTGAATTTCGTAGCATTCAGTTATCCATGTGAACAATAGTGTCGCTGTGTTTGCATTACCTGAGTGTGTTTAGTTACCTGGTCTACCTGGACACACCTGTATAAACGATCTACCTGGACGGTCGAGTCTCTTAGTAGGCAGGTAGTGCCTTGGTACTGGGCCTCTAATAAACTCGTTGGTTGTCGCTACATGAAGCAAGAAAGGTGTAGCTTAATTTACAGGAAGGAGAGAAATAAACAGTTTGTGACCGGGGTCGTGAAGGGTGCCTGTGATCGAGAAGTTTAAGAACCCAGGTGGACGTGGGTACACCTGGCCAGGGTGTGAGGGATTAACGAGATTAAGGTCATGGGGCACTGACCACTGAAAATCTAGAACATGAAATGTTGGTGGGTGCTTTGAGGGCCTCAAAGCACGTTGGTTCTATCAAGGCAACACTGGTTTACAATCAGCTGATAATTCCAAAAAAAAATTTAAATAAAAATTTGACTTAAATTCTCTTATTCCCATTTAAGGTTGTTAAAATGATAATGAGATTGGTTGGGAATAGATGCAAAATGGCTGATGAGGCAAGGCTATACTCATACTCTTCTCTTGATATTGTTACAATTTTTATCTACCTCACTGCTTACTGCCAGGAAAGCCCCAATTAAACATCTGTTTTCAAACCAAGGCTGGAAGACGGCCTGTAAGTGGATGATAGGACGTTGACAGCCTGACTAGACGATGTATTGGTTGGGAAACCATGGCATGGACAGACAAATGGCAGCATTAATTGACAGAAAATAAGTAATGTGTAACTAAGTGAGTTGGGTTTAAAGAGCTTTGAACAGTATTCCCGTTATATCACGGCATGCTAGCTTAATGTTGGAGGAAATTCTGAATTGATGCATGTCTTAGACATTTGCCACTTTTGTGAAACCCATTAACATTGGTATGGTGCTGACAAACCTAAAAACATAATCAGGATTCGAACCCACAATAATAGCTTTCTAGCATGCCCAAGGGGCGCAACTCTGAACAGCGTGTTGAGGCGCCTTAGACGACTGGGCCATCTGATCCCAGAGTAAATAAGTAAAAGACGATGAAATGTGGATGTGAACAAACACAAACTGACCAGAGAATAAGTTGCTAAGGCAACATATTTATTACAGCATTATTATACACATAATAAGACAGGAATGAAGACATATTAACATGAAAAAAATGAACATGCAGCTGATATGAAATGATTCCAGCGATCTTCGAACATGAAGATGGAGATTACATTGTAACCATGGCAACTGCACCAGTACCCCCCATCTCAGCTGTCTATGGTACACAGGGTGATGAATCAGCTACTTATATTCAGCTCATGTTCCCAACTGACTTGAAGGACCGTTCACACCTTGGGTGCTTTACAAACTCCCAAGAACTGCTTTCCTGACTGAGCACAAAAGATTTGTTCCTGTAAGAGCGTGGCAGCCTTCGTCAGGGCTCCGATAATACCTGCCGCTGTAGCGTTGACACCTTCCTCCGACTACCGTCCGCAGGCCCATGTGAACTCGTCACACCTCCCTTGATAGCCCGTCACCCACGACTATGGATAAACATGTCAGTTAATTGTCTATTTTTATGGTTGAAAGAATACCTCCAGATCCTGTTATTTAGACATGTTATTTTTGTGATTTGTTTCCTTTCTAAAACTGTTTTGGTATTTCATTGTTTTGGTCTCAGGTTCTGTAAGTTGCCCTTGAGAAAGAAAAAATAATTTCTCACACCTCAGTTGATTCCAAGTCTTGTTCAGAGATATTCTGCGCATGTTATAAGTTGTATCTATGGTCTGTAAACTCTGAGCACTGCTTGATGTGTTTCTTCCCTGTGTGGAGAATGGAGACACATAATTTCATTGCCGCCATGTAAGTAGCAGATGATGCATACAAGATCTAAGACGTTTATGGTTAGTCTCTTGCGTACCAGGACACCGATGAATAAACTCAGGATACTATCATGAAATATTTGTGTGATAACATAATCACGCCAACATTAATATGACACCAATCTTCACAGTGACAGCTCATTGATTGAAAAGGATTCCTTACTCTATGAATAGGCCATCAAAGAATTAACTATTCTGTTTTGACAAGTTAAACGAGTTGAAAGGAATTACAGTCGATATTCAAAAGTTTTGGTTTTTTCATCTGTGATGTTAATATTGAGCCCTCTCCATTGATTTTTTTACCAGACAAAATTGCAGTAGATTGCAACACTCTTTGTAGTCAAGGCAATACAGTGATTAAGAAAAACAGAGTTTAGTTTAAGGAGATGATTACAAAAAGCGTCGTCTTGAATCGATTGACATGCTTGATGGTTTACCGTCAAGCTTTGGAGCTAAATTTGTGTAGCGGTAAATCAGGCTGATTACATCAATGGTAGAGCTGAAGACTCGTAAAGATAATAATTTCTATCTGGGGATTATCACCGTAAACTGTTCTACATGTGCTCAATGCAGACGCACCAGCGTTATCTTATTCGTCCTGCGCTTGCAGCTGCAATGGCCATCTTGCATATTCCACCCTGATTTCAGAATTCATGTGTCTCATTGAAACTCATCAAAATGCTAATGACGCGTACCAGAAGATGTTTTTCCAGTCAGTTATTCACAAGTTGCAAATAAATCTTGAGTAGTGTGGAGTTTCCGTATCTCATGGAAAGTTTCTAATTGAGTAAACCATTGGGGATTAGAAAGCTACGACGTCTTTCATGCAGCAATGTCAAGGTCGTGTGAAAAGGTACATCCCCCTATCCGAGATTAGATGTAGTTTAGGAGATTTCAACTTCTTATGGAAAGAATGATGCGAAATTAAGTTAGCAAATTAGCTGATTGAACAGTTAGAGCGTTACGTTTCATTCAAAGTTGTCTCATTAAGAAGGCTGTTAAAGTTTTGTATGAGATTCCAGAACAAAATTTGCATTTTGAATTCAAATAGTTCATTTAAACTACATGCATTTAAAGTTAATAAAAGAAGGATAGTTGATCTTATTGACACGCCACCAATTTGTTTCTTTTTATTGATTAGGCACATGTTTAAAAACACATGTGTGAATATTTTTTTCTCAGACAAATGCTGGTGTTGACATGTTTCCATTTCGTATATGCCCAGAATGAAACCGATTTGTAGACTCTCTTGAATCTTGGACCATTTATAAAACAGGAAATTAAAGTTTTAAGGGGTGATTAAATGTATTGGAAGTAACTTTTGGCTTTCTATTCAAATTTTAGAAACTTTTTGAAGTTAATGATTTGCTTTCTGTCAGTTCCTGGTTTGAATTGACGTGGTTCTGACTTGGACGAAAAAGCAACTTGGCTCACAATGACATTGCTGGCTAGGGATTTATATTCAGATAGGTATTACTTATGGAATATGCATTCACTCGGAAACAATAGTGGTTACAAGGTTTTTGTTTGTGTGAACAGATACAACCTGTCTATATTGATCAGGGCCCGCAAGCACACGGAGACCTTTGTGCTATCAGTAACAAATCTTCCATACCTGCCTACAACACAGGATTGCAACAGTGCTAGATCACTTCTCACTAGTGTTGCATTTGATCAGGGGAATGTGAACCAGACATTAATGAAAAACTTTCGTGCCCCTTTTGTGACAGAGTTGTGTCCCTTTGGCATGCCAGGAACCTGTGATCATGGGTTCAGATCCCAGTTGCTCTGATTATGTTTTTGGGTTTGTCTGGACCATACCTGTGCTCTTTGCAGCATTAAACTCAACTCACTGATGTGAGGCAACTCTAACATTGTTTGACTGTTGTGTGTATACATGGCTTTTTTGTGACTTTCAGGGTATGGGTTCGTAGACTTTGAGTCTCCACAAGCGGCTGAGGCGGCAGTCCAGACGCTCCAGAGTCAGGGCATCCAGGCACAAATGGCAAAGGTAGGTCCTCGGATGCCATCCACCCCCACCCCACCCCCACCCCCACCTTACAATACAGCTCCTGCCTAAAATCTCCACTTGTCTCCACAAACTTGTCATCAGAGGCGATTGATGGGACCGGATAATGATGCTCGCTGACTTGGTTGATGCATGTCATCTACATCCTAGTTGCAAAGATTGATGCTCATGATGTCAATCATTTGATTGTCTGGTCAAGACTCGATTACTGACAGCTGGAATATTGATGAGTGTAGTGTAAGACAACATACAAACAAACACGACAGCTCCTGCCTAAAATTAATACTATTATAAATTTGTAAATAAAATAAACAATTATTTTGCACATTTTGTTATTGATTTGTTACATTTTCTTATTTTGGTTTTGACCTTATGATTTTAAGGTTCCATCAATATAATTGGATTTATCTATCATTTGATCGTACATTAATTTCACATGAAACAGTTAATGCAAACTACATATTGGGAATTTAACTGTGAAATTGGTGTTTTGTTAGAATTCCGTGTAATTAATAGCATTCAGGCTTGCCTATTGCTAGTTTGGACAGGCTGAAACATAAACATGCTTGTTTATGAATCATTATCATTTAGAATAAATGGAAAAAAGCGGACCAGTTAGTTGCTGAAAATCATTGTTAGGCATTGTTATGTCTAGAATAGTGTGTGTCGTATTTCAAAACCATATGGTGACACTTAAAAATAACCTAATCCCTGCAAAAGCAATTCCACATCGAAGTCTGGAGTTCACTAAAATGGGCATACTTAAAAGTGTATGTTTATGGTGACTGTGTGTACGGGCTGTGGTAGAGAAGCTTATGGCCTGAGTAAGCTTCATATATACAGGAGGTTTAAGAGATGCAGACCCTTAATGGTGTATATGTCCACGCAACCTGCGACAGTTTGGCCAGGTATTTGTGTAATGTTTAACACCTGTGGGTGTGAAATGCTAAACGAGCAGGTGTGATTGAGTGAAACATGCAGGTAAAGTGCATCATTTCACCGGTGGCACACCTTGACATTGCAGTAATTAAGGTGCAGCGCCCACGAGACTTGCTGCCCGCAAATTTCAGAGGTCTAGCTTGTGACCACTGGAAAAGGTCCCAGTCTGTTTCGGTTCTTCATACCATTATACATTTGCTGAATCAGCTCTTTGAGTGGGTATTGCAGCTGTGGGTTTTCTTTCTAATTTGGCATTCTGTTACAAACTGTCACATTGTACAAGACACTTTCACTTTGAATTGTGTTTGTTGTAAAGGTTGAAGCACATTCATATATGTAGTTTTGTCAAACATATGAGGGTTTGTTTGTTTGTTGTTTAACGCCAACTCAGCAGTATTCCAGATGTATGACGATGGTCTGTTAATAATCAAATCTGGACAAGACAGTTATGTGATTGACATTGTGAGCATCGATCTATGCAATGGGGATGCGATGACAAGCATCAATCATTTCAGCAATCCTGACAACCCGATCCCATTTGTCGCTTCTAACGTGGATCTTCATGTCTCATATAAGAGTGTACTAAGAGTAAACATATCAGCCCTTGCTAACAGATGCATTTTTGTCACTTTTGTGAATACATCTATCCTCCACACCCACGTGTGGCTCGGGGTGGACAAGTGATGCTGTAATGTTATTTCTGTTTTTTTGTTTAAGGCCGCACTTGACAATATTCTAGCAATATGACCTCAGCCTGTAATAATTGAGTCTAGACCAGACAATCCAGTGATTGATATTGTGAGCTGCGATCCCTGGGGTATAATGATGACACTCAACCAAGTCACTGAGTCTGACCACCAGATCCATTTTGTCACCTCTTGGAAGATCCGGGGTAGAATAGGTCTTCAGCAACCCATGCTTGCCGTAAAAGGTGACTGTGCTTGTTGTAAGAGGCGACTAACGGGATCGGGTAGTCAGGCTCGCTGACTTGGTTGAAGCATGTCATCTATCCCAATTGCGAGGATCGATGCTTATGATATCAATCACTGGATTGTCTGGTCCAGAATTGATTATGTACAGACCGCTTTCATATAGCTGGAATATTGCTGAGTGCGGCGTAAAACAACAAACCAACCAAACCAATCGTCACCTCTTACGACCAGTGTAGGTTGCTACAGAACTGTTCTAACCCCCGAATCCCCCTAGGGTTACTGTGTTGTAACTGAAATACTATTCAAAGGGGCGTTAAACCTTTGTAATAATGTGTCTGTATTCTGAAACATTCCACACAACATGAGGTCTGAACACTACCACAATGGCATCCATAGCAGGAGACAGATCAACACAAGCTGGACACCTTTTCCTGAGTTTTCACACATGCTATTTACAGTTACAGTTAATGCTTTGTAACACAATATGAGATCTTGTTTAATACTCTGTTTAATTAACACCCTATTGTACAATCTGGTGGTGTCAAAAGTATGCATATATTAGAGACACGATTAAACCCCAACCCTTGAGCTCTTTGCACAGACTTTGACTGTCTGTATATGACTGCCAGATGGTATTAATTTGAAACACCTTTGGAGAGCTAATCAGACGTATCTATTTCATAGCATCATGTGTGATGCATAAAACTTTCCTCGACATTGGCATTATCAAATTATTACAAATGGATTGACTAAGTTTCTCGACTAAGGCATTGATGAGGGTTAGTAGTTATGAACAAACACCCTTTTGGGGAATCCTAGTCCTGCACCATGACCGTGGAATATATTCATTTTATGACAAAAAACATAATCTAGAAATGCATACAAAAGCAAGTCTAGCCAGCTCAAGCTAGCTCTATTCCACAATTTTATTTTTATTTTTAGAGTCAAGAAGGATATTGTGTAATATAAGATTTCAGAGACTAAATGTTAGTCTAGGGGAATCCGAGTGAGACTAGTTCTCCGGCAACCTGTGCTGGTCATAGAGGCGACCAAATGGATCGGGTGGTCAGGCTCGGTGACTGGGTTGATGGTGTGTCTTCAAACCCCACTAGTGTGGATCACTGCTGTCAATATTTATCACTGGAATACTTAATAGAGTTTATTATTGATAGAGTTTATTATTGATAGCTGAACTATTGCTGAGTGTGGCAACCAACCAAACAAAGACGTGAAATGTGTACAACAATTTCTGGATAGTCATTTCTATAAAACTTCCTGGTTAGTGCGGGTCTGGCTGTTACTCCATCAGAAATAGTGTCGATGACATTCAGCATCAAACTTGGTCAAACAGTACGATAGTTTTAACAGATTTTTTTAAACTTTCAAAAACTATTTTCATTGAAGGTGTAGGGTATACTGTCTTAGGGATTGTGATGGCCACCATTTCAGTGTATCAGTGTCCCCGTTTTTAATAGGTATTTAGAGTGAGCATTACACAACATGAATATTTCAATAAAAATGTGTGTGTTGCTGGAATCCCAGCTATTCCCATGTGGAATATTTTATCGTAAACTGTAAACATAGATTAGAAAGTCGACTGTGCGATCTGTCATGTAGGCACTGGCATAGCTCAGTTGAATGTTTAACGATGTTGATTTATAATCAATTTCTTTGAACTTGTGTCCCCGACCTGGTCCTGGAGATAGCTCACACAAGTATGTGTGTGTGTAAGCTACTGATAATATGCCCAGTTATTATCACATTCTATCTAGGGAGATATGTGGTTTTAATTCCCTGCCCATTAATATAAACTGTGATAACTGTCTGATTATGGCAACCAAGATATAGTCAACTTTTTATCGTAAGGTCCGCTTGAAGATAGGGTCAGGAAAGGTTCCTAGAACACCATGCATGGCTAGAAGGGGATTGGATGCCCACAATAGATTCTAACTGTATAAATTCTTTAGCAACCTACTCTGTCATGCTCAATCCTGTTGTATGAGTGGGTGTGGTGGGTATTATCTTGCTCTATATCCTGACATATCACCTTGATGTGAGGGGTGGGTTGCCTGATGGTAAAAGCAGTGATGCTGATATTTTGAAATCGTCCATATAATATAACATCCATCTAACAGAACATCCATCTAATGGGTCAGCGTGGCAGCCTAGTCGTCAAAGCTTACTTGTCATGCCGAATGTCCAGATTTGATTCTCAAACTGTCTGAAGACATTTCTGGTGTCCCGATCATGATTTTATTAAAATATTGATAAGCAATATAAAACCATATTTACTACTGTGAGCGGACAAGCTAAAGTGATGCAGGTCATAGATACTTCACTTCAGTGAGACCAACAAGAACAGGCTGTGTTGACTGACCAAGGATAATAATCGGTGCATTTGCAATCCGAATCAACGTACAGCACATGTTTGCATGGCTAAGGAATGCAACTTTGTACAACAAGTTGCAGTGATTCAGGCCACTGGACCATTCCTTTCCCCCGAATTGTATATTTGATAGGTAATAGATTCAGGAGATATTTGTTCCGTTAAATGTTTACTTACGGATTTAGCCTCCACATTCTGCTGGGCCGAAACAGACCTTACAATCTTGGTAAAAACAAACCTCCTTTTGAAGTCAAATTTCTTGGCGTAATTGTAGGGTCTCGTCTTTTTCGTAACAATTTTTTGATAAACTCGTAAAATGTTTTCCAAGTCAAAAGGCAAGATGAACAAATAGTCATTAGGGGAATTTGCGCCAGATTGTGTACGAGGACAGGTCGGACTGCCGTCGTTCCAACAGGTGCTCTTTGCTTCACCATCTCCGCTATTCCTCTACTCAGACAAAGAGATTTGACTAACTGGTAACTCAAACAGTTGTTAGGTATTCCCATCCTATGGTTAGTTGGAATTTTCAAGAAAGGCGACAACCAGCACCCAATTTCGTGTGTCTATATTTAATCGTGACATATTAATTTGTTCCCCTGTGTGTTGGACTTGGTCTTTCTATAGGAATGTGGTCTTAATGTTTGGACTGACACACATCCCTGCAATGAGCTAAACAGTGTTGAACATTTTCACGCTTGGAACTGAATTCAACACAGCTTCGAGAA